AGCCTGGGATGGTGGGAGGTGTCCCAGGGATTTTATTTACATTTTGGGGGCTTGTGGCAGGACCCTGGAGTGGCTGATCCCGTTCTTGTCCCCTGTCATTTGTAGGGCACAGTGATGTCCTCATGGGCCTGGTCTCTGTAAACAGGGATGATCTCTATGAGAGGCTGAAATTCCTGCAGATCTGTAAGTCCAGACAGGGAATTCCTGACAGGAATCCTGTTCACATCCACAGCTCCTGCTGGGGAGGGTGGGCATGCACACAAGTGGGAAATCTGCCTGGAATGTAATTAACAGGGCTGGGCAAGCTCAATGAAATAGTCCCATAAAATGAGAGGTGTTGATCTCCCCTTCCCAAGCAGTTCAGGAGAGCACTGGGCCCATCCTGACACCACTGAGGTGCCACCTGCACTTGGGGGTTTGAAACTCCCTCACCCACCAGGCTGGGCCCAGTGCAGAGTGTTCTTACCTCTGATGATTCCAGCCATTTTCTGGCCTCTTCATTGTCAGGAATAAATTCCTGTCTGGGGTTGTGCCCTCTGCAGTGAGGATGCACTGTGCCCAATAAATGTAATCCTTGAGGCCTGAGCCTGTTAATTGGGCTCATTAATTGGCTCCCCAATGTGGGAGATGAGGAACAGAGATTGCCTCGGGTGTCTTCCCACTTGTTCCAAGCTCAGAAATGCTGGAGGTGAGGATGTGCTTGGCTTTGCTGAATGCAGAACACCAATGTTGCTGTGGAATTCTGTGGAATTCTGTTCCCATTCCCACAGCCCTTGGAGCTGTCCCCTCCCCCTTTGACTGCTTCCTCTGCAACCGGGGGCTCAAGACTCTGCACATCCGGATGAAGCTGCACTTCCACAACGGCCTGGCTGTGGCCAAGTTCCTGGAGTCCCATCCCAGGGTGGAGAAGGTCATTTACCCAGGTGGGTGGCAGGGGTTTGGGAGCATCCCAGGGCAGGGGTTTGGGAGCATCCCAGGGCAGGGGTTTGGGAGCATCCCAGGGCAGGGGTTTGGGAGCATCCCAGGGCAGGGGTTTGGGAGCATCCCAGGGCAGGGATTGGGGAGGATCCCACGGCAGGGGTTTGGGAGCTGTGGTGCCCCGTGACTGGGGCTGGGTGCCCAGCTCAGGTGAGGCTGAGCTGCCCCAGCTCTGCACTGGAATTCACTGGGAATTCTCCCAACTCTCTCCATTCCAGGGCTGCCTTCCCACCCTCAGTACGAGGTGGTGAAGAAGCAGTGCACAGGCTGTCCTGGGATGGTCAGCTTCCACATCAAAGGGAATATCAAAAATGCCTCTGCCTTTCTCAGGAACTTGAAGGTAAAACAAAGGCGATAAAATCATCCTCGGAGCTGAATCTGCTGAGGGGAGGGTGGAGTGGCTTTTCTTGCCAAGTCCTTTGGGTGTGCCCCTCTGTAAATCAGGGATAATTTGTCCTTGGGGGTTAATGAGGGGGAACAAAGGGACTCCTCAGCCCCTTGGGAGTGTTTGTTTGTTTGTTTATTTGTTTGCTGCCAGGGTGAGTCCAGCTCACCCAGGAGCTGCTGCTGGCAAAGGGCTTTGTGCAGGGCTGGGCAGCTGGGGCTGGAGCAGCTCTGCTGGAATATTGCAAAGTGCCCTCAGCAGGGAAAGGCACGGAGGGAGGCCCTGCCTCGTGGGGCACAGAGGGAGCCCCTGGCTCTGGGAATGCTTGGCTGGGTCCTTGGCCCAGCCTGTGCTGGTGTTTGGCCAGGTGTTCACTCTCCTGTGCCCGGGGGGGTGTTTGTGTCCTGAGCCCACTCCTGTAACGACTCCTTTCCCTTTCCCCCACAGGTGTT